AAGGTTATACTTACGTTCAGGAATGTTTTGTATACGCTCTTTCAGAAGGGATTTTACAAAATCTCCGTCTTCCACCAAAACAGCCACTTCCACGTGATAAGAACCATTTCCTTGGAAATCGGTAAAATGGCCTGAATGAACACCGTCATTTGCGCTTAGATCAGCCCCTGTTGATGTAAGATTAGCATCAATACTATAAGTTACTTTTCTATATATATATTTCTGTTCAGTGAAATTGAATCATCCTTAGTTAAAAGCAATTAAAATATGGGCCCGTTACAAGTTTTTAAATAAATATATTTATATTTACAGTTAATAATTAAACTTCTTGTTGAGATGACTCTCTCGAGATATCCTCTCCAGCGGTATGTCTGCGGACTTACAACGCTAGAAACCGGGTTTCGATAACCCGTGGTGGGCAGAGCACAGATAGCCCATTGTGTAGCTTTGTGCTTAAATTCAAACAAAACAAAATCCTCTCCAATGCGAAAAAAAAACCCTAGGAACTCAGCGGTAAGTCTGAAGGCTTATAATGCTAAAAACCGGGTTTCGATAACCGTGGTGAGCACAACACAGATAGCTCATTGTGCAAAAAAAAACTTTTTTTTAAAAGTGAAAAAAAAAAAATATATATTATATCAGAAGCTTGTGTATTATGCTTTTTATTTGGAATACTGAAGAATAATTGGTGTTGGTGTTAAACACAAAGGGCTATCTGTGCTCTGCCCAGCACGGGTATCGAAACCCGGTTTCTAGCGGTAGAAGTCCGCAGACATGCCGCTGTGTCACTGGGGGAGGGGGAGCTGAAAGAAAAATTCGTGCTTCGCGTGCGATGTATATATTAAATTTATTTGGCTAATGAAACTATGATTAAGAAACAAAAAAAAAGAAGAAAAATGTACATGGAAGGGATCGAATCGTTGACTTAACCGCATACGAAGTGTATGATGTGCCATATGAGTCAAAGCCCGAGGATGTTTTTCATATATTCAGCATTATTAAGTAGAATACAGTATATATATATATATTGTAAATAGATAAATCCTTTAAATAATGCTGTTGTTATATTATGTAC